ATGTATATAATATATGTATTATTTATAATATAATTATAAATAATAATATTATATATAATATAATGTATAATATATAAAAATATATATATTTAATTTTTTATTAATTTTATATATTAAATTTATATTTAATTATTTCAATATAATAATATATAAATAATTATATTTTATTATATTATTATATTGTATTATTTAAATATAAATTTAAATAATTCATTATTTTTGCCGGTACTCAGTATTAAAAAATGAAACAATATGCCGGCTGCGAATATGTGTGTTAATATATTATATTATTAATATATTATTTTCTACAATATATAATATATTAAATATATATATATATATATATATATATATATATATATATATATATATATTATATTATTAATATATTATTTTCTGTATAGAGTTTAAAAAATACAATGTGTGTGAACAAGATTCTTTACTTACATGCCAATAACGATGAAAATTAAATGGAAATTTTGATCATTCGTAATAATTTGTTTTCACTTTGACAGTTTTTTATTATTAAAAAAAAAAATATATACATATATATATATTTTTTTTTCCTTTTGTAATAATATTTTTAACTATTATTTTGAAAACGTAATTGTACAATTTATTACGAGTATGGAAAAGCCAGAGAAATTTTATTGACGTCACTACTCCTACATACTACGTTTATAGTCACACCATTGTTATTTATGTGTCCATATGAACATTTTATTTAAATTATAAATTCTTTGAAGAAATGATTGGTTTCTGTGTATTTTAAATTGAAGAAAGGAAGAAAAAGATGACAAGAAATTAAGAAAGAAAGGGAAAACACAAGAAACGATCCGGACAACATCACGGTCGAGGACCGACTGAAGGATAGCGTGATTTCTCATGCTGGTGGTGTGTCAGTGTCCTCCTCTTTGTATTTATATTCACACACTTACATTAAAAACCTAAATTTTTCTATCGATTTATGTCGTTGTCGTTGTCATTGCCATTATACATTATAAAAAAAAAAAAGTTCAAACGACTATTTAAATACATGATTTAAATATCATTGAATAATCTTGTCTTTCGAAAAAAAAACAGAAAAAAAAAAGAAAAAAAAAATATTCATCCTTTCGAAAGCACGTCACGATATTTATTTATCTATTTAGGTTTAATCTTTTTTCTTGTTTTTTTTTTTCTTTTTTTTTATATATGTAGGTACTCACATATTTTCTAACGTGAAGAAATAAATAATCAAGATCTTCGATTCACTTGAACGTCCTTCTGAGATAACATAATTTCTCGATATACAGGATGTTCCAAAAAATTTCATAAAAATTGAAAAATTATCATCTTGTTAACATGTATTTGAAGTGACGTAGAATAGACGAAGTATCGAGATCTTGTAAATATTTTTACACAATATTATAATTGGATATTCATATCTTAAAATGAGATTAATTATGTTGAATTTTCTTATCTTAATAAAACAACTTTAGGAATACCCCGTATACAGTGCATGTATAATTTAATCAAGTTACACTCTCGTGTATAGAATTTACTTTGAGATTTTCTAGAACGAATTACATCACGATAATATTTACGATAAAATGCGTATTACAGTAATCTTGAAATTTTTCTGGAAAAACTAATCCAAATTTGTGAAGAATTAAATTATTTTTGTATTGGTTAGTAATCTAATAATATCTATAAAAAAAAATAACAATGTAATTTTAATATACCCTTGTTGGAATTCTTGTGCAATGATAAGCTTAATCTTTGGAATTTTTTATACACACATATTTCCATAAATCGTGTTTCGATTTTATACTAACAAAAAATTAACAAAAATATATCTATGCATATATATATATATA